CGCCGACTCGAGACAGAGAAATCAGAAGGGGAAGAGAAGGAGAAATCGAAAGGTAGGGAGCGGGAGATGGCTCGTCGGGTTTGGTCCTGGAGACCAAACGGGTTTCAGAGGAGGGGGGTCGGAGGAGCTGGGCGAGATCGGGGATCTCCCGGTCTGGACTTCTTTCGAACGAGAGTGAGAAAGAGAGAGAGCCGGGGTCGGTCAGGGCTCGGGCTCCTCCTTGCTTCTTGGCGTGGGTTTCCCTTGCTTCGGACGGAAGGAACGGAGAGGGAGAGGGATCGGGCTGTGCTAAAAATCGAGAGAGAGAGAGAGGGAGAAGGAGAAAAATTGATAGCGGCCGCTCGTGAGATGGAGGCTTTGGCCTTAGTTAGGGCATCAGAGGGAGAGCGGGGAGATACAAGCCGTCGGATCAATTTCTCGATATGATATCAAATTCCCCATCATGTAGAAAGTAAATTGACTTCTTAATAAAAATTAAGTGAAATCCACGAGGTTAAAATTAGACCCAAGCCGAACCCAATCTAACATGATTTGGGTCGATTCGGGTTTGACTCGACTCGACCCGAATCAACAAAACCAAACCCAAATTAATGTTGATTCGAATTAAATCGAGCTCGACGAAACCCGATCACCTCAATCAAATGCGCTCGAGGGCAAATTAAGCCAAAAACGAGGTCAACAAGCCTAAGGCATTCACATTATCCACTTTCAGTGGTCTACCAAACAGAAGCACCAAGCCATGAAGAATATAAGGGGAGAAGAAATGAGGTCGCAAGTTAGGAAAGGAAATCTAGATCGGGACAATGGGAGATTCGGCACCAATATCATCTGATGTAGACCATTTGATCAGTTTCATGAAGCAATTATACACCAGATAAGATCTATGGAAAAAAATCCTACTAGTCAGTTCCATGAGATTGATCCAATAAAGTAACCGAGAAATCACCATTTGACTTAAGATTTAAGAAAAATTTCCTAATCGAAGTGAGACTAGGACGACGAAAAGGGAAAAACCAACTAAAGAAAACTTAAAAGGTTCGGCTATTGCAAAAAATTTCTCCTATGAACCCAACAAAGCAGGAAAACCACGAAATGATGTATGTTTGAGGTTAGGAAATCTACCAAAAGAAGAAGACCCAGATAAAGCTTCCAAGAACGAACAAGACTTAGCCGACCCAGCCAAAAAAATGGGATCAACATGTCGATTGAAATACATAAAAACAGAGAAGATACAACAAAGTAAAAAAAAGAGGAAAAGCAAGAGAAGAAAACTCCCCTTGGCACAGGCGATCGATGGAGGAAGCAGCTGCAAGCGCATGGAAGACGTCACGAGGTGGCTAGGGCGATGCCCTAGCACGTCTCAGAGAAATCGGGAGGAAAAAGCGGAATGTTGACTTTAGTTAGAGTAGAACCATCATCATTAAAATGTGGTAATTTAGGGATTTACTTTATTATTATTTATATGTCATCAAAAATTGATTTGATGAGACATGAATCTCAATGCATATTTATATTGAGAAATTTTGGAATTAAATTAAGGGTGACCCAAACTTCGATTTCAACAAATCTATATTAAAATTGAATGTCTTGCTAGATAAAAAATTGACGCGAAAAGTGATTTGATATGATTCCAACACCAAAATCAAGCATTTAAAGCACAACTAAAAACTTTGTGACCCCATTTTGAGAACCAATGCAATCTAAATCTCATATACTTATAATCATATTGAGTGTCTTAACAAAACAAATCAAATGAGCCTAAAATAGTCTAATTTTAACATTATTAAGCCACTTAAATGTTGAAGGAACAATATATGATTGAGGGATTCAACCATTCAATAGAGTGTTCCATATTTTGACTATATTTTTTAGGTGTGACACTTGATGGAGACTGTGGAGCAAACTTTTGAATGATGTAAAAATTTTGTGTTACATCAACCTAAATAATACCTAAGTTTTCTTTGATATGTAAATAATAAAATCCTGCTTAATATACATAAGTATATGTTCCGAATATAGTAATAAAATGATAGAGTTGAGTGTCAAATTAATGAGGAAGTGTCATGCTTACTTACAAAAAATATTAGTATTTACTCTAATTGCAAGAATTATCGTATTGAGATAAAAATTATGTTTTTGGAGTTTTTATCTATGAATAAAATAGTAGAATAGTTGATATAATATTTAATAAAAATATTTTGGATTGATGAATACAAATTATATTTATATTTTTTCTAATTAGACTCTTCATGATAATGTGATTCATAACATATGCATCTTTGTCAAGCTTGTGTGAGTGAAAATGATATCTGCTGACCTCCTACAGTTATAATATACTTAAAAACCTAGAATATTTAGCATCCTATATCAAAGAGCATGTTAACATTCTATTTCAATATTCATCCATCGAGAGACACTATATTTTAACTACACGTATGACCACTATGTGCATTAAATAAAGAACATGATAATACTGAAAACATTATTATATATTTAAAGAATAAGAGTCTTCATTAGTGCTTAACATGCTCTTTGAATCATCAATTCAAAATAACAGATTTAGCAAGACATAATATAAATGACAAACACACTTTTTTTATTAAATTCATAAAAGAATAAAAATACAAGAGAGTGATATCACCATGAAGGATTAATGCATCTCCTCTATACTTCTTTTTCTTCTTTTACTTACATAGTTGATTCAACAAATACAGGCTAAACACTTCAATGAATTATATATTGTACTTTTCTAGACTCCCTAAGATTTTATTCTAAGAGGGAACTAGAGAACTAAACTGAAAAAGTGCTAAAATTTACACTAGTGACTGAACTCATCTATAACACCCTTAAAATAAACAAGCACCTCAAAGCTGAATTTTTTTCTCCATCGTGATGCTTGATGACATGGAACAGTTGCATAGTGAATAGTTTTGACCTTAATTTCAGTATAATGAGCCTTGGAAATTACAACTGCAATGCCGCACTGCTATTGACATTCAAGTGTTGCGGCCCCCAATTGGAAAAATTGGTGCTAATGCGCGAGAAATTGTGGCTCCACGACACTTAGATTCTTGAGAATTTGGCATTATTAAGTTGACTTTCTAACGCAGCGACGCTGGCAACACTATGACGCTAGATTTTTTGCCAACGCAACTCTCAAAAATAGACAATATGATGCACCCATGTCCAAATTGTAGTGCCTTGGCGGTGTTGAAGGTGGGGCTTTGATGGTGTTTCTTTCTATTTCGCAGCGCTAGGAGCTCCTTAGTATTTTTTATTATTTTTGAGTTTTCTCTATACAAAATCGACTAAAATAACATATTTTTATTGAAAATAAAGTATGTTAAATAGTACATAATTTTACGTTTCAATACTTTAAATATAATAAAATCATATCAAATTATTTAGAATGATCAAATTTATAACATATTCAAACTTGCATGATGGAATCATATGAAATCAGGAGAGAATATATTTTTGGCAATTTTAAGATAAATAAAATTTGTAAATATCAAAATCATTGAAAGTATATGTTAGAGAGAATATATAGGTGAAAATATGTAATATGAATGCTTGACAAATATGATCCAAAGATCTTTCTCTATCCTATCTCTTCTTCCCCTCTTTAATTTTTTTCTTAGCCAAGCAATCAAGTGAGGGAGTTGCTGGGGTGAGGCAGAAATATAATATAACCCAACCACATGTATTTTGAAACATGATAAGAGGACAACATGTGATCAAAAGGAGTAAATCCTAAGGCCGATGACGAGCAGAAGTAACATATGCAAGGTGACCTTTCATCAACACAGCGGTGCAACATACAAGCAGATGAATCGATCTACAAAATGCAAAACAAGATAGTGTATGTGACCAATGCCGAAAAAGAGGTCAACATTGTACTTTGACAACCATTGCCCTATTAAGTGCAATCCTTCAATTGCCATTGCTCGTCTACAATCTCATCCCAACCGCCTAACTATAGTTCTCTAATCATCATCACCCAATTACAATCGTCTGACTATTATTACTCGAATATAGTATCCCTACCAACATTGTCACCAGGGGTGGAGCTATAAATTTTTTCTTGTGGGGGCATAAATTATTTAAGTAAAATATTTTAGTTCGATAAGTTGAATGAAAAATTTTAAGATGGAAGTGGTAAACAGTATAATAAATGAAATGAGAGAACAATAAGACTATTATAACAAAAGATAATCAAAACACCAACAATCAAAGATTAATTAAAAGTCCTAACAAGATAATCTTGTAAGTAAAAATATAATATATACAATTAGTAAGGCAATCGATGAAAAAGACAACAAAAAATCTCCTATTGAATCATTAAAAAAATTATTCTCAACATTGTTCATCAAAATATGATAAAAGTTCATCGTACAAAATAATAGCTACTGCAATGCCAAACAACAACCTTGTTTTTGAAACATCACAAACGCCAAAATTTTCTACAAACCTAGAAGCCAAAGATTGTGATGTTTTGGACTTTGAGAAGGTCTATTCAACTATGAGGATTAAAATTGGCCACATAATGATGATATTTACAAATTAAACAGAATAGTATGACATAAGTTATTATGAAAATAATTAATTGAATAGTCTAAGACATGCTACATTACTGGGAAAACCATAATAGGAAAGCTGTTATATTTCCCTTTTGTTTATTCACTAGCTTGCTTCTTATAGAACTTTTTGTTTAACTAGCAAACAAAAACTAGTAGAATAAAAGTACAAGCGTCTAAATGAGCAAATTCTAAAAACAAAGAATTTCTGGACTAAAAATCCAACCATCGTTTTCAATATAAGAACTTCTGGACTAAAAATGAAAGCTACTGGAGATTACTGCTGAATGCTTGTTCCCAACTGATCTCTAGAAATCCTCTATCTCATTTTTGTTTGATTCTCAAAAAGTTAAAAGGGGAACTTAAGCATCAACTTTGGGCTAATTCCAATTCTCTTTCTGTGGAGTTGGAAAATTTATACAGTCAACAAGAATTCTTACTTGATACCTTGCACCAGCATCCTTTGCGTCTTGACTTGTTGGATAACCTTAAGAAGGTTAATCTTAGCATTGCTGATACTTCTGCCTCTCTTGTTAGCTGGGTGATTCAAAGAGCAAAGGTTAAATGGCTTCAACATGGTGAAGAGGATTTGAATTTCTTATATGGCAAGATTAGATGTAGACAGGGGAAGTCTAAATCCTTAACTAATCTTTTCTCTTGCAATCCTACTCTTTCTAGAGATGATGTTATTAATTATATTGTGCAGTACTTTCAAACTCTTTCTAATCCTTCTCCTATTGCCCCGGGGAAGTATGTTCTGCCTGTAGGTGATTCTCTCTCTGACAACCTTGCAAATTTGCTTATTTCTCCTTTTCTGGAGGGGGAAATCAAAACAGCTGTGATGAAAGGTTCTTCTAAATTAGCATCAGGTCCTGATGGCTTTAACTATCATTTCTACAAAACAGGTTGGCACATTATTGGTCCCCTTTTATGTAAAGAGATCAATGCTTTCTTTTCTAAAGGGTATCTTCCTAGTGGTATTAAAGCCACTGCTCTCGTCATTATTCCTAAATCTAGCAATGCCACCACTATCTCTGATTATAGTCCTATCTCCCTTTGTAATACTCTTTATAAAATTATTGCTAAAGTGATAGCTGCTAGACTTAAACCTTTGATGCCTATCATTGTCAAAGATACTCAAGCAGGTTTTGTGAAGTCTAGAATTTCTACTGACAGTATTTTACTTGCTAAGGAGATTCTCTCTTTGGTTTCCAAGAAAGGTGCCCACAATATCTTCTGTGCCAAAATTGATATCAAAAAAGCCTTTGATTCTGTCTCCAGAGAATTCTTGCTTGCTAGATTGCACCATAAAGGCTTTCCTAATGAATTTATCAACCGGATTAAAGCTTGTATCTCTAATATTAACTTCTCTGTAGTTATTGATGGTGCTTTAGAAGGCTATTTTACCTCCTCCGCGGGTCTTAGGCAGGGGTGTTCTTTGAGCCCTTATCTTTTCTGTATTGTTATGGATGCCCTCTCTAATTTGCTGGAGGAAAGAGGATTTAAAGGTTTCAAAGCTGAGAATTTTCATCTTTCTCACCTTTTGTATGCGGATGATGTCCTTATTTTTGGAGAAGCAACTGTGGCTAACTGTACTCTACTTTCCAATATTCTCAGTGAGTTTGGTGATGCCTCTGGTCTCAAGGTTAATCATGAAAAATGTTCTGTGATGTTTACTAAGAAGCAGAAAAACCTGGACTTGCTTTGTCAAGCTTTATCCATACATCACATTACCTCCAAAATTTCCTACCTGGGTATTCCGATTGCCTTCTACAATTTGAAAGTTGTTGATTTTTTGCCTTTAATGGATAGTTTACATAAGAAATTCAATGGTTGGAAGGCTAACCTTCTCTCTCTTACGGGCAGATTGCAATATCTTAAATTCACTATCCAAAACACTATTGCATACTGGATTAGAGGTTCTATTTTACCTAAATCTTTTTTTAAGTTTTTTAAAAAAACTTGCTCTAGATTCCTGTTTTTTGGAGATATAGGCTGCTCAAATAAGCTTCATATGGTTTCTTGGGACAATGTATGCAAGCCTAAATCTAAGGGTGGGCTCGGTCTCCCATCTTTAAATGCTATCCAGTTTGCTTTTAACTGCACTATTATTTTCAGGATGTACAACAGTTCTTCTTTGCTAGCTTCTTGGTTTAGCTCTAGATACTTATCCCCTTGGAAACCCCCACCTCCTTTAGCTAGCAAATTCTGGGTCAGTATTTGTAATACTGCCTTGTTGGTTAAACATAACTGCAGCTTTAATGTCTCTTCTTCGGCCCCAATTGCCTTGCATTGGGATCCCTGGTGTGATAAGCATTCTCTGTTTGAGTTATTTGGCAGAGAAGTCATGGACTGGATGCCTGATCATTTGTTAAAGAATTAACTGGGTGCTGGGGGCTGGAATTTTCCTGTTGGTTTGCCTTATATTATTAGGAACACTTTATCTAAAGTTCCTATTGCTACTGAACCTATTACCTGTATCATCTGGAAGGATAAATCCAAGGTTAAATTTAAGGATTTTATGGAGGAATTTTACATTGGCTCACAGGACAGCCCTTGGGAAAATCTTGTTTGGCATAAAAATTACAGTCTTAAGCATTCTGTTTATGTTTGGCTTGCTCTGGTGGGTGGTTTAAAAACTCATGATGCTTTAAGACTTCGTAATATCGTTGTCCCTGAGCTATGTTCTCTGTGTAATAATCACCCTGAATCTGTCAACCACCTTTTTTTCGAGTGTGATTATTCTTTTTCTGTGCTTGAAGCCCTCATTCCTGCTTCTTCTGGGTTTCTGTTTAGACCCACTGTCCTCCAGTTTTTACAATGGCTTGATTCGGAATACTTGGGTACTTCTCTGTACAAGAACTGCTTTAAATTGGTGGTCTGCTGCACTCTTTATTATGTTTGGCGTGAACGTAATAGCAGGAGATTTGGGAATGATTTTCATAGTATTAATACCCTTATTGCTTCTATTAAAAGGGTTATTAATATAAAACTGGGGAAGTGGAAAAATAGAGACTTGCTTTTGGGGCATATCTGAATCTGTCTCTATCACACTGGCTATGCTTATTTTCTGGATCTGGTTGTTTTAAGCTGTTCTCTGGAGTTGTGCTGGCTTACTAGCGGGTTTTTTATGTAGCTAGGATGCTGTTGATGTCCCTCGTTAATTTCTGAGTCATTCCCTTTGGATGGCCATTTGGCAACCAAGGGAATGCTGCTATCTCTACTGCTCCTCGTAGCTGTTCTCTGGATCCTGCTGGGGCCTGATCTTCTTGACTTTTTGTTTCCTCTCGTTGTTGCTCTCTATGCTGAAACTCAATTTTGTTTTACCACTTCTAGTACAGTTTTTATTTGTTGTATTTTGGGTGGTATAGTTGGGGTTTCATTCTTTTTTACCAACATAAGTTTTTGTTGATGCTTATGTTCGGTTTTGTCTTTACTTGTATGTTTTTACTTGTAATTTCTTCTTTGCTTTTTAATAGAAGGGCTTAGGCCCAAAATTTCCCAAAAAAAAAAACAAAAAATTCAAATAAATAAATAAATAAAGGGTTTTGAAGAAAACGGGAAGTGGGCTATTAATAGTGCCGCCGCATTAGTCTTTTATAGGGGTGTCAATTTTTGACACGACCCGAAATTCGATTCGAAAAAATTCGGGTTTGGGTTAACCCATTTGTGAAACACGGGTCGGGTCCGAGTTTGGATTTCCGACCCGTTTAAAAAATGTGTCGGGTTTGGGTTGACCTGAAACCCGCTGGTCAACCTGAATTGACCCGTTTATATTTTGTAAACACAAATTTACAATTCCTGCTTGACTTTCCCGCGTCAGTTTTTCCTGCGACTGTCGCGTCTGTCGATTGCTGTCAAACCATCACATATGTCATTCTGTCCATCGTGGTCAAACCATCGCCTCAGCTCGAGAGTCGAGACACTCGACAGTCGCTGAGTCACGTCTGTCACATCGCTAGTACAGGGCTCCGGGCCAATCGCGTTTGCGCCTCCGCTAGTCCGCGGCGTCCGTGCGACTCCGCCAGACGCCATCGCTGCATCACATTCGTTCGCGCAACTCTAGACTCCACCACTCGCTTCGTCCGTTTCTAACGCGACCTTCGTGGCCTGCAGGCAGCAGGTGGACATCGCGTCGTCGACTCTACTCCCGCCGTGCCGGCGGTGCCGCCTAACACGTCGTCGCTCATTTTTTAATTAAACAGTCTGCAGGTTGGGTTGGGTCAACCCTTGCGGATCGGGTTTAGGTTTAATTTTTTGATCCGTTTATTTAAACGGGTTTCGGGTTGACCCGTTTACTCCCTGGTCAAGTCAGATTTGACCCGAACCCGACTCGTCGACCCAAATTGACACCCTAGTCTTTTTCCACTGTCTTCTATCCACACAAAACTGGATTAATTATAGAAAAAAACGAAAAAAGGAAGAACATACCAACGCGGACAAAGAAGAAGATGAAATGGAGAAAAAGCTTACCTGCTCACGATTGGACATGAAGACGAAGGAGCACGCCGGAGAGGAAGACCACTCGGAGAAGATGAGGCGGGGGGATGGTGCAATTCCTCCATTCATTTCGGCAAATAAGGGTTGGATTTACTGATTGCCAAGATTTAGCGGGAGTGAAAAGCATAGAGGCGGGATTTCTATTTGGGAAGAAAAAAAAATAGTATGATTTAATCTATAATTAATGTCTCATAAATAAATATACTTAATTAGATATTAAAAATAATTTCAGTGGGGGCTCGTGCCCCCAGGGCCAACATGCTGCATCCGCCTCTGATTGTCACTAGTGCTTGTCACCAACAACTCTAATTTTCACTATCAATTTCAAGATCTACATTGAACTTCTTGATCTCTGATTTCCTCTCCTCAAAGATGAATGACTAAATATGCTACAAAAGTCCTTTTAAAGACAACTCCATTGCCTCTAGGCTGTCTCAACTTTCACCATGCACAAATCTTTTCTATACAATTCATGTATACCTTCCCTAATTATTGAAAAAAAGGTCATTTATAGCCAACAAAATACATTTGTAGAATCATTTCAACAAACTCAAGTTCCATGATTTTTGCCTTTTTTTTGTTTTTCACATTAAAACTCTAGCATTTCTTACACTATCTTTTATTTTATGGAGAAATTTTTAAAATAAAAACGGGTTAAAAGTATTTTACTTAAACAAGAAAATGGAAAAAAAAAAAAAACTAATGCCAGTCATTTGCTCTGGTAACAACTAACTCTAACCAAGTTAGTCGGGTTCAAGTCAAAATTGAATTAGGCATGCAGGAGCTTTTTTTAATTTCTTTATAGATAATTTTATTAAATTAAAATTAAGTTATGAATAATTGAATTATAGTAACTTAAGTCATAATTTATTCGGGATCTAACTTAAGTAAACAATTAGATTTAAATTAATTTAGTAATAATCATATTTGTTAGATTAAATGTCCAGTTTCCTACCATAGATGCCTTAGAAGTATTATGCTGGTAAATCTTCATACATATATAACCTTTTCTAGTCATTTGTTGCCTTTGTTTACCATAGATGACTTAGAAGTATTATGCTGGTAAATCTTCATACATATATAACCTTTTCTAGTCATTTGTTGCCTTTGTTTACCATAGATGACTTAGAAGTATTATGCTGGTAAATCTTCATACATATATAACCTTTTCTAGTCATTTGTTCCCTTTGTTCACAACAACCAGCCTTGTAGAGTTGAAATTGCATCATCATCGGTCTTATGCCATTTATAGCTATTTGAAATTAATGGATTCTTATTCTTTATTTGATCCTATTGAGTATCCCTTGAGATGTTAAACCCATTTGATGAAAATATTTTTAAACTACTCCTTTTTTAATTAACTTCAGTTTAACCTCTTTTTATTTCTTTCACTCTAATTTTGTCAAGTTGTTTAATTAGTTTATTTTCTACCCTCTATTGTATGTGCCCAAATCACTCAAGTCTATTTTCATTATCTTATATTTTGGAATACATGCATATGCAACAAATCTTCTTATTGTTGGAATCCATGGATTAATTCCAAAGATGAAAATTAGGTTCTTGTCGATTCATGACAACCCACATATTCATGTCAAAGAAAGAAATGGGGATCCCATGGATTCATGCTAAGGAAATTCAGACCATGTTTTACAAATATATATATATATATATATATAATTTATTATGCTTTCGTTGGCCTCTCATATTGGAGAGATTATTACGTGCGGAGTCCGAACATATCCGGAAGCTAATTTGGACGTGCCACGTTACCCAATGCACTATGTATTGGATGATTTGGCGCATCCGGATGCGTCCGGATACCGCACGTAATAATTTTTCCTCATATTGAGAGCGATTTCTTAGAGTAAAATGAAATTTAGTTAGGTAGTTTTGACCTGCTGAAGGCTCCTACTTTCAAGGTTTGGCCAACCTCTTCTTTACATAATTCAAAGGAACGATTAAGCAAATAGTTAAATTAAGCTCTTTTGACTTCAATTTGTGGCTCTCCATCTTGCCTTCATTTATCTAATTGGGATAAATAAGAAAAATGAGTTTTTTGGGGATTACTTAGATCCTTGTCCTACACTTACATTGTTTTTATCTTAGGCTTGCAACACTTTGATTCATTTTTTTTAGCTTAGTTCATCAATTAATCAAGTTTAAATCCTTGAAAGAGCTTCCCATATCAACATGTAAATGTGTTGGGATGGCTTCAAGCACTTATTTGATCAAGCACAATTTATGACATACATCAAACATGAACTTTAACTACAAGAAAAAAATTGCTTTCGCAGCACTTTGAAGGGCTTTCCAGGTATTTTTAATAGCCACAAAAAACTTTGTAGGGTTCCAAAATTACTATAGAATTGTTGTAATTGGTATTCGGTGCAAGGAGTTTTCGCAACGATTTTGCAACCGACGGAAAAGGTCTGTAATGTAGCAGTTTTTACCTCCACTATTATTAGTAGTTAAAATTTTTGTTGTCTCCATAATAGTGGCGGTTAAAACTGTTGCTAATTTTTTAACATAGGTGAAAACAAATATAATGCCGAAATTCAAATTTTGTGAATATAAGAAGTAGCTGTATAATGTTTTTGAGAACACAACAATGTATATGAAAAGATTACAACTTTAACCTTATGTAATAAAAAGTAGTTGAATTCATAGTAATAATTAAAAGCATTCTTGATTTAGCACATTAAGACTTCGTTTGAGACGATTTTCTGACTGCTTTATAAAAGAAAATAATTAAAAAGCAGTAAAGAAGTTGTCCTAAATGAAACCTAAGTGTTATCAATACAAAACTCTAAAAAGCAAATGCTTACTACACAGCTACAATATCAAATTCCACATTTTGAATGTTCAGAACCTTCAGCTACTAGGGCTCTAGAAAACAAAGCTCCAATACCTTTTTATAAGGTCTATGCAAATTAATAAATAAATTACAAAATTATTACTTCTTTCCTCCTCATATCAACTCTATCAAAGACAAATGCATAACAACAAGCACTATCTATTATCTTCATTGTAGCTACAAGAGATTGATTTTCTGCTTAGCATTTCAACCAAACTTTTTATAACCTCTCTAGCCAAAAACTTTTGACTGCTTTTTCTTTTATTGATATCTAATTTTTATTAAAAAAATTGCATCCCTTTTTTGACTTCTTTGATTGTCCATGAAATGCCATTTGAATTAATGATTATAAAAGCCCTTTATCCATTAGTTTCCTAGCACATAAAATATGATTAGTTTAATTAGCAAATATTTTATGATTAGTTTAATTTTATATTGGTAGATTCAATCCATCCATCCACAATTAATGGAATAAAAAACAATTTAATATAACTCAATCAAAATAAATTCAAGAAGAAGGAAAAAAAATTCAATATATGTTTGATGGTTATCCTTATAAGAGTGGAGAATGGAAACCATCAAAGTAGGTATCAAGCTTGGTGGGAATGGCAGGGGTTAGCTTTGTTGGAGATGGCAAGTGTTAGTTTTGATTGAGATAAAGAGCATTGATGTTGGTGTTGGCC